GTAGCATACATGAAAATTTATTTTTTTCTTTGGTTGGGAAGCTCATTTACGTTGTTTATGAAAATGGCAACACCACAAATAGTAAAAACTTTCTAAAATAGTACCGGCGAGGCCTTCAAAAGTTCGGGCGAACAAAAAAATATTCTCTCTTCTCTAATTTGTAAACGTTTCTTTTGCATTTCGAAATTTTACATAAGCATCTATATAAATACATTTATAAAACGCAATTTGAAATATTATACAACAATAATTATTGTGCCAAACACACTTGACGTTTGGCCAGCTTATAGTTGGAATCTGTTTACAAATACGTACAAGTGAGAAGTATTCCACTATAGAATCCAGTCTAAGATCGAGGCACTTAGCCAAGTGTGTCGACCTCTTCAAATCGTATGCAAATTTGCCGCCTCGTGTCGGGCTACTGTCTTACTCTTTGGCGCCAAAAGTGGACTACTGTCTACTCTTTGGCGCCAAAAGTCCACACCATTGGCTATTGGCACGTGGACATTGATAAACACGTAGCAGATTTACTTTTTCTCGATGAATTTGTCCTTGATTAGTATAATAATTTTATAAAAGTTAGTGTACTCTTTGGTTCTATCGGTATCATAAAAACGTCCGTTGTTTTATTCGGTGTATTCAGCTTAATTTATATAGGGACCAAATTTGTAATATCGGGTGAAAAATAGGTGGCGACAAGTTGTTTATAAGGGTTTCACATAAAATCTGTCACAATTTTCCCTATCGAAGGTTCATAATAATGTTTTTGTCTGCAACATTTAAAAAATGTTTTAACTTAGTATACGTAAACCAGTTGTTCTGAATTAAAATACTGACTACTTGATACCAACAGTAGGATAAGTCCACAGCTAGTTTTACTTTTATTCATGCCACCAATGCATTATTTTTTTTTCAAAATAAGTTTTAACTAGTTTGACTGTGACAGTTGAAATAATAATTAATTCATTATTTTTTTCAACATGACAAGTTTTCATTGTGTTTTAATTTTTGTCCTATATACAGGGAATTTCGCTATAGTTTAAAACATTCTTAAGAAAATGTATTATAAGTATGTAACTTATAATGTCTCCCACTATGCTGTTCGTAATCGTTCCACAATAACAATGCTAATTGCTTCAATAATGTCCATAACATGACTCAGATCTATAAATAGATTCCGTGTCAATCAGCAGATAAAGTACAATCAACAAATTCGCAGAAACACACTGTTGATTCATTGATTTTGATATTGTTGAATTATTCAATTGGCCTTCTTATCAATCAATGCATATTCAAGTGAAACCCGATGACAAAGTAAAGCCAATTAGGATTTTGCGGGGGTAAGAAGTTGGTAGCTAAGTTCCTAACCTTTTATATATATATATATATATATATATATATATACATATTTTCATATACATATTTTCATGAAGGTCCAACGGCTTCGAATGGCAGACCATCGTTTTGATGAGGTACATGACAGAAAACATATCATTCTGCTCACTACACGAAAGTAAAAAGCCTGATAGGCTTTACATTGTTCCTTGCTTCAATTTCAACTATCAAATCTTGGTTTTCTTGAGGTGTTTTTGTATCAAATGCTGTGTGGAATATTTGGTGCACAACGATGGAAGAGTGGTTAAAAGATGGCCTAACATTTGCATTATAATTTTTACCCAACCCTCTTATCAAATTGTTTTTCTCAGATGTTTCGTGTTGTAAATCAGAGGGTTTCTAGTTAAATCCTGAGAAAAAAAACAGAAGCTTAAAGGTGGTTCAAAAATTAAGAAACATCAGCTGATAGTTATCAAAGTCATTACAGTTCAACCATGAGGTGAAGACTTGGTTACTGAAGTAGACTAGGCTGCTGTTGTTATCTTTTATTGTAGACAAAAAGAATTGTTGTTGTGTGACCTGTCACAGAATGCGTTAGTGTCTAAAATTCCATTTTCCATCTTAATTTCGGTTGCTGACATAGTTGATTGGTCGTAACAGTTTCTGTAGCACAAAATAAGCCATTCCATCAAACTGACTCGGTAAAAAAGTTCATGTATTTGACAGAAATCAGTGATTTATATCCGCAATCTATCGGTGGCTCACATCAACTAAGTCGATTTTTATTAAAAACTGACGACAATTTTTACATGGGGAATCTATGTTCAACACTAATCTGTCGGCCGTCTTCACTTTAAAAAATACGAACATAACATAAAAATTTCCATTATGTATTGACTGAACTATTTACCTTTAGACTGAACTTTAATACTTTTGGGAACCTAAAATGAAAATTACCCTGGTCCCAGACCTAGTGTGTCGGCGGCGTCGCGTCGTATCTAATGTAATACTAAAACTATTTCGAATCTGGTTCAAATTAGTGTGTAATCTTGTATCCATAAAATGCCCATGTATTGACTGAACAATATAATACTTTTGGGGAGCCTAAAATGAAAATTACCCCGTTCCCAGAATTAGGTCTTACCATGATCACACGGCAGTAGGTATATCCTTATCGCGAACTTCTTGGATAAGGTCAAGATCCGTACCATAACAAAACACACAAAAGTAAAAGGTGTAATTACACAAAACAGCTTTGAAAATAACTGGAAATAATTAACTACAGTCTCGGAAACATTAGAAAGTTACTTTGAGGCCCCTAAAATTGCTATCAATTACCCTGCAGATGTTACCACATGGCTGTAGGACCGCTGGAGGGCTTGTTGTTGGGCCCGGCAGACGTTGATGAGAGTAATTGAATAAGTAGTCAGCATCGTCGGCTGCATTTACATTACAAGCCACGTCCGCTCGGCCAAACCACATATTCAACAGTGATTGTCTGTATTTGAACTAGACAACCGTCTACGTTTGTAGAAGATCATATACATTACTATCGAAGCTTCTCCTACATTGCAGCCAATGTCTTTGTACAATTGTATTAGTCCGGCTTCTAAAATTTCTAGAACACTAAACACCTGTCATTTTATTCTTTTGGTACCTTGCAATGACGTTACGTTTTCTGATAAACCTGAACCTCCAAATCTTGTTCTGTACATTTGTAATTTCAAACTGTCTACATTTGTAGGCTGCCTCAAAAATATAATGCGTTCAAACAGCCGTGGCGGATTAGGAGGCCCCAAGGGTTTCCATGGGGTCTCCTAATCCGTCAGGTGCCACGGCTGTTTGAACGGAGTATAAGTATATATTTGTCAACATCCTTTTCCATCCATATCGGTTCATAGTCTCTTCTACACATACCAGCTAATATTCTGCTTCTATGTTTCAATCTGCAAATCTTCGTGTCAATTATGTTTGTGTCTGCTTATGTTTTTCATGCGTACCTACTAGCATACATTAAACAAACTCCCTAGTCTATGCCACTAGTCAACCTTCTGTATTCATACATTGTCAACTTAAACGTTTTCGTTAAAGTCTCCTACGTGAGTCAAAACCAATCCTTTCTTAGTAGAACCTTGATAACAAGACTCTCGTGGGGATTATCATATTAGACTTTTTATCAAGGTTGACTTCTTATCGAAGTTTGAAATACTATGCAATTAAAGGGGAAAATAAATTCCAGGGGATTTTAAAATGTTACTTGTTATCAAGCGTGACTTGATATCGAGGGTCTTGTTATCAAGGTTCCACTGTAATATATGTACTATATACAGTATCAGCAATCTTATTCATATTCCCAAATTCGCTCCCGTTGATCTTCTCTTCTAGCATTCGACCTTGGCAACATTCTTCCACACTTTTTTGACCAAATTCTTAGTTTACATGAATATGTTGGTAATTACTACTATTGTAATAGAGTTTACAATTCATATCGAACTCCAGAACTCATCCATGAAATAATGTTTGCATGAATAACACGATTTAGCGAAATGGAATACATAGTTCATCGCAATTCAATGGCTCTGTGGATAATCACAATAAACTTGCGTAAATATTCAAATTAAAAATAGTGGTGATTTGTCGATGAGTTGGTTTCTATAAACTTTCTAAACGCGAACAATTAATTGTTTCATTTTCAAACCAGTACACAAGCACAAAATAAACACTTTCACTTTTCGTTACAAGTCAACCTGTTGTTCAAAATCAATTTTAAACAATTTGCTTACTGGTTTCGGTTTCATACGAGCAAACTAGTTCAGCTCATATTTTGACGAAATAAGGTTATAAGTACAATCAACAAAGTAAAACATGGAAAGCTGTATACATGGTTAAAATCATTGACTGCGGGATACTGAAGTCTTTCCGGCGATAGTCAAAAGTATTAACCCAACTTTTTGGCTTCCGCAATACTTGAAGCGGTGAGAATGACTAAGGTAACCAATAAGTTGACACACATCTAGGAGACAATATCGACAATTACACGGATACTGCAAGTAGATTTCCCATTCGGCTGTAAAATAAAAAGAATATTTCTCAATTACGTTTTCTATATTTTTTATCCTTGAGGGTGATTATTTAAGCGTCCGATTTACTCTAATTATAACATCAGAGAACAAGTAGTAATTCAACATTAGATCGATTGGTTTAGTGAAAAAAACAACAACAAGAAATAAATAGTATAAAGATTAAAGCAAAACTCTAGATGAACCGGCTAAACATGCCTTATTGTCCCGAAGTTGACCAACAAGAAAATGAATCCATGAGCGACGAATTTATCCATGGTAAAAGGTTTTTATTTTATACACTTATTCACGAGATTTTACTGAAATATTACCAAAAGGTTGCCGACAAAATAATTAACTAGAGATGATGAGTCAGTGTTGTGTCTTAGAAGCGAACCTATCTTTTACTTAGTAGAGTTAGTTTTGCGTTTTGCCAAAAACATCGTCAGCCAAAGTATAAACAAAACATCGCGCCAAGCTGTTGCTATAGTAACCTTTATTTATTTAGATACTAAACCCGGTACAATGCAACAACACTCCTCCCATAAACTTTGCACAGCCTCTACAACTTTGGAAATGTTTACGGCAATCGATATCAAGACTTACCGGACATTGTGACATCGTCGTTGTTGAAGACGAGCCAGAGAGAGAAGAAATGATCGACAGCGAGTTTAGCTGTCAGTTCGCCGTCAATGCCGGTCGTGTTGGGCAGTTGGGTAGCCCGGGTGGACGACACCATAAACACGCACAGGGCGAGCAGGAGCATGGTTGTGGCGGGAGTCGGAGGTCCTGCCAGCTGGGAAACGGCGGGAATACTGACACTAGCGCCGGTGGTGCCGATCGATGCGGGATAACCGGTAACTAACACCTACACTGTCACCCGTCCCCACTTTAGATTAGCGGGTAGATGGGATCTGGGAATTGAGGAGGATTCTGAGAATTTACTAGGGATGGATTAGGCTGCGGCCACACGGGCGTTTTTTTTTTCACGCACAAACGCAGCGTGAAAACACGCGAAAAATTAGAGTAGGGCCTAGCATTGAAACAAATGGGCGCCCACTACTGCGGGAAAACACACTGCGTGTGGCATACTTCATTACATTTTAGAGATTATGTAAACGGTCTGCTAAAGAGGTCACCATAACTAATCCAAATTCACTTTACTGTGCCTCATTACGTTACGTCAAATATTCTTAGGTTTAAAATAATGCCTTTATTTAGTTTATTCAGTTCTGCAATAATATTATTTTGATCCTCCAGCAAAAGTGTGTTACGGTTTTGGGGACAATAATTATGTTGTTGAGAGTAAAATGTGTAATAAATTATATGTATTGCTATTTATAAAGCTCGCGGTCTTTTGAATAATACCATAAATTAAAGGATAGTACGAACCAGAATAGGATGTTACTTTTGAGAGTTTTTACTTTTCAACTCTTTCTTTAAAATTTAAATTACCGATGTGAGTAAGTAGATAGTTTGATAAGTATATCAAGCAGTGCGGAATGTTGTATTATTGTTGTTGTCATACATGGAGTTCATGTAAATTAATTTTCAACAGCCTAAATATTCCGTAAAAACTTGAACAGCTTAACATCTTAAACATATTTTCCTATATACTTCGTTCACAATATTTAGGCGGTTTTAGGGGAAGAAATCATCCCCTCCACTTGGCCCTTACCTTTTAAAATAATAGCTCAACAGCTGATTATGATGTAGCCACATACATTTTGTTTAGTTTTTATTAATTAATTTTAAATAAAGGAGACATTTTTTAGTAACAGTAAAAGTTTCTATTCTCAAAAACATAACAACAACTTATTTGTAAACAGATGTAAGATAAACATGAAGAATCATATGTTATTTTAAAAGCATAGAATATTAAATATCTAAACATCTTCCCCTTTGACAAATTCAATTTTTCTTTTTCTTATGAAAAATGAGTTTCTTCTGAATTGTTTTCCATTTGTATATTGCACTACGTATGATCTCGGAGTTTCACCAACTTTTACTATGATAGCTGGCTCCCAGATCTTGGTCCGAACATCTTGTACATAAATGGGATCCTTTTCATTATATACTGTTTCTTGTTTTGTCGTCTTATCATAATAAGATTTTTGATTGATTCTTTTTGTCTGCATTTGATCTGCTACATCTTGATGAATTATCTTTGGCTCTAATCTGTGATTTGGAAGAGGTAATTTTGATCTTAATACCCTCCCCATTAGTAACTGAGCTGGAGAATAATCAAGTCCTGCAACAACACTGTTTCTGTAGTTAAGTAGGCTCAAATTTAGATCTGATCCTGATTCTGAGGACGTTTTTATAAGTTTTTTAGCAATACCTACAGCTTTTTCTGCTAAGCCATTGGCTTGAGGATAGTTAGGACTTGTAGTTTGTATTTTAAAATTCCACTCCTTTGCGAACTCTCTTAGTTCGTAAGAATCAAAAGGCATGTTGTCAGCTATCATAATCTGTGGAATCCCAAATCTTCCAAATATTTGGACTAATGCATTCTTCACAGATAAACTGTTTTTACTATTCATTTTGACCACCTCTAACCATCTAGAGTAGAAGTCAACAAGTATCAAGTATATCTTCCCAGCACATTCAGCAATGTCTGCGGAAACTTTCAAGAATGGAACATTAGGTATTTCGTGGCAAATGAGAGTATCTTTGATGTTTGATCTTCTATATTTCTGACAAATATTACATCTGTCAACAATGTTCTTCAAAACTGCTCTTACTCCGGGCCAGTAATAGAAATTTGAGACAATTGAATTCATTTTCCTTTCCCCAAGATGGGTCTCATGCAGTCGGTTGATAATTATGGGTCTCAGTTTCTTCGGAATTATTATACGGTTTTTGAAATACAGTAAGCCATCATTCAACTCAATGTCAGATCTGATATTAAAATAATGTGCCAGATCTCCACCACAAGGCAATGATGTAGGCCATCCATTTACATAATACTTCACAACTTGTCCCAAAACGTCATCACTTGCAGTTTCTTTTTTGAACTCTTCAAGTCGTTCATCTGAAAAATTTACAATTCCTGTTTCGGTTACACAGTGTACCATATCTAGCATGGTGAGGTCAACTGGCTCATTTGTTTTTACGCCACATCGTGACAAGAAATCAGCTATATACATGTATTTTCCAGCCAAGTACTGTATTTTGAAATTGTAGGGCAATAACTTTAGCCTAAGTCTTTTTAATCTATTATTCTGTATTTTATTGATAGGTTTTTGCATTAGTGACACAAGGGGCATATGATCAGATTGAATAGTGATGTCTTCATGTCCGTATACATACGCGTGTAGTTTTGAACAGGAGAAATATACTGCTAGCAATTCCTTCTCAACTTGGGCATAACCGACCTCAGCTGAGTTAAGAGACCTAGACGCCATGTAAACAGGTTTGTTGTTTTGTAGCAAACAGCACCCAAGAGCATCTTGAGACGCATCACACTGTATGATTATAGGAGCTGTCATATCAAAGGGAGCAATAATCTGGTCACTAGAGATTAGTTGTTTAATATTATCGATAGCTCTTGAGTGTAGAACAGTCCACTGCCAATGAACATTCTTCTTTAAGAGCTCCCTAAGTGGCGAAGTTATTTGTGATAAGTTAGGGATGAAAGACCGAAGGAAGTTTACCATACCCAATAAACTTTGCAGTTCTTTCTTATTAGAAGGGTTCTTTAGAGCTTTTATAACTCCAACTTTCTCTGGATCGGGACGCATACCATTTTTGCTAAAAATAACACCTAAATATTTAATTTCAGGTAGACAGTATTGGAACTTGTTTATATTGAATTTAATATTCAGACTTCTGGCCCGCTCTAGGACTTTCTTGAGTATTTCATCATTTTCTTCTTTAGAGTTAGAAGCTATGCATAAATCATCAAAGTAGACCGTTACTCCTGGAATATCCTCAAAATATCTTGCTACACACTTATGAAATAGTTCAGGCAAATTACTTAAACCAAATGGGCAACGTAAAAATCTATAAGTTCCATATATTGTGCTGAAGTTACAAAGTTGACTAGATTTTTCGTCTAGTTTGATGTGATAGAAGCCATCTTTTATATCTAAGATGCTATAAAATTGCTTATTACCCAATTTTGGAAATATCTCATCAATTGTATAGTGGGAATCGTGTATCTCTCTCTAACAATGTACTTATTCAAATTTTGTGGGTCAATGCATATTCTCAATGAGCCATCAGGTTTTTCAACTATCACTACATTTGACACCCATTCTACAGGCTCATTGACTTGTTCAATTATACCTCTATTTATGAGATCATCAAGCTTGTCTTTAAATTTTTTGGTGATTTTCAATGGGATACGCCTAGCTGAATTGGCTTGAGGTACCGCATTATTTGTCAACTTAATAGAACATTGGTCAGGAAAACAGCCCAAACCACTAAATACATCTTTGTAAATATCACATATGTTTTGTTTGCCATTACAAGCACTCGTATTCAAGTTTACTTTACCTAGGTCATCGATTCTTTGTATCAACCCTAATCTAGTGCATGCTTCAAGCCCTAAGATAGGCGTGGAACTGCCTTTTACTACAATACAATCTATTATATCTAATTTCTCATTCGTTTCTACTTGAACAGTAATCTCTCCCAAAGGTATTATCTTAAAGCCACCATATGCTTCTAGTCGTACCTTACTTTTTCTTAGTTTACATGATAAGCCAGAGTTCTTAATGATATCATAAGGTATTACATTTACCTCAGCACCCGTATCAAGTTTGAAATTGACACGTAAGGTATTGTCTATCAGTAAGTTTTTGAACCATACCTTTTGTTTGACGGCGTTTACCAAGTGTACAGAGTCAATCAATTCAGCCTCGTTTTCTTCAGCCTCTTGTTGTTTTTCATCAATATTATACAAAGGTTGAGGTTTGTCTTTGTTCTGCCTTGTTGCTGGAGCACGTTTCTTCAAACAGACGTTGCTGAAATGGTTTGGCTTCTTGCACCAATTACAAAATTTGCCTAATGCAGGACAGGTCTGGTTATAGTCGTGATTCCTTCCACATTTCCTACATTGGTGTTCGGAAATGTTATATGATTTTGGCTTTATCTGGTCAGTACTGAAAAAAGGAACCCGGTCGTTTTCTTTGTTTATAATCTTCAGATTATTTTCAGCAAGCTCAATACTCTTGCAATATTCAATAATTTTGTCTATTGATGCATCATCCCTTAACAACCGTTCCTGGGTTTCTCTGGAAAAAATGCCAAGTGCTATCTGTGCTTTCATTAGTTTAGACTCTTGATCTTTGAAATCACAAATCTTTGCACGATGCCTTAAGTTAGCTAGAAACTTGTCAAATGATTCTCCTTCAGATTGTCTGCATGTGACAAATTTGAAAACATCCATAATTTCATTCTTTTTTGGCAAACAATAATTTCCCAGAACATCCATGATGGATTCTATACTTTCATCAGTGACATCTGTGACTAAAGAATTGTACAGCTGTAAAGCTTCTTTGCCCATCAAATTCTTCAATCGTGCCACTTTTACAGGATTGGGTTTCTTCATTGTCTCTGTGGCTATAAAGTAGTTTTCAACGTCTTCCTTGAACTGCTTGAAATTTTCTGGCATATTGCCTATTAATGATAACTTATCTGGTTTATTGAATTCCATTTTTGAGCAGTCACAAACAAAATATAAATACACTCAAATGCACGACTGCGCCATGTTTAGTTTTTATTAATTAATTTTAAATAAAGGAGACATTTTTTAGTAACAGTAAAAGTTTCTATTCTCAAAAACATAACAACAACTTATTTGTAAACAGATGTAAGATAAACATGAAGAATCATATGTTA